GGGGGGGGGGGGGGGGGATCCAGAGACAGGCACAGATTTACACATAAGAGCTGCAACAGCCTTTGTGTAAACATGAGAAATAAGAGATCAGGACAAAAACCAACAGAATTAAGCAGATGGGCATGTTTTCCTTCAAAGCTGGCATCAGTTTAAAAAAAATTACTTCCAGAGGGAATCTCCTGAATCGAATGCTGGGTCGCTTGGACACCACAACCAGGTTTAAAGATCTGCATGACAGCATTCCCACTTCGGCCTGCAATCCTAGATTTGGTGCCTCCAAAGCTTGCAAGTCTAAAGGGTTAGAGCAAAGGTCCACATTTTGCCCCATCTCCCCCAATGGCAACCAGCCAGATGTCTCCTTCACGTGCCCAAAGCCACCAGTTCCCTCATGTACTTATCACCAGCATGTTGTGTTCTGATGCTTACCATCTAACCCAACTTTTAAATGCCCATTACTGTGAAAAAGGATTTTCTCTTCACTGTTTACAAGACCTTCTAATAGCAAAAAGTGGAATTGAAATGCTCAGGGTAGATCTTAGCTCATTTCCTGAAGCACCACTTACAACATCCCCAATGTGCCCGCCAGTCCCAAAAAGGGCCAACCCTTGGCTTCGTCAAATCTGCTATTTCAACAGCCTGGCATGTGGTGAAGTCCATGAGACCAGTTTATGAGTTTCCTCTAAGACTTGAACAATTCTGGTCCCCACTAGGAGGATGAAATAGGAGTAAGTAGCTTTCCTGCCCCATACTCTGGCCCCCAGGAATATTGGTCTAGATTGCCCTCCATCACACCACGGTTACAATCCAGTCTCTGAGTCTGCAATGCCCAGAAGACTCCACCATTAACATCCAGGTCCAGACAACCTGTATTTTGCCCAACAAATGCAAACAGTTCATCAGTCCATCCCTGCCCTTTCCCTATGCCTACCGAAAAGATTTTATTCCAGGAAACAGGCTCCTATTTCAGCTACTTAGACATTGTTTGTCCTATTACTGATTTATATTTTGAAATAGGCTAACTTTGGTTTTCTATCTCAGATGCTGAACAGCTGACTATATTGGACACGGCAGGACAACTGATAAACAGGTTTCCTGCTTCCTTTCTGGAATCTTTCTGTAAAATCTTCTTGCATCAAAAGGACCAAAACACCAGAGATTTAGGTGACCATAGACCATCGTTTATTTTCTTCTTTCTCTCCAAACTCCTGCGGCTGTGGTGTAGTGATGTCACCAATGGAGCCGCACCCAAAATGTTCCTTTTAAATAATTATCTAGAGGTGTGCATATTTTTTAAAACTCTGGAAAACGTAACATATATATATTTGGGGCTGCAACGTAAAGAGGTTCTGGGATGAGCGGAAAAAAAGCATACGATCTGTGGATTGAACCAGAGGAAGAGCTGTGTGTGGGGAATTCGGAAACCGGTTCACCATTTTGTTATTTTTTCCCCCAACTTGCTCTCAATCAAGATAGAGAAGTGACACGTCACATCTGGGCTTCTCGCCAAGAAAAGTTAACAGCTCTTTAATGAGCTATGGATTTCCTGGAACAAAATCCAGAAATTGGACATTAGGGGGACGCAGAATACATTAGTTGCCTGAGGAAACAGACGTAACTACCACTTTCGAACTGAAAAGTTTCCTGGAACTGAACAGCTGAGACGAATCTCCGCTTTGGTGTAACTCCATCCTGGAATTGAGCCCAGCCAAGCTTCCTGACGGAGAGGTCACCGAGTCTGGATATGCAATCTTTCACAGCTCGCCAAAGCTAAGCCATCTTTGCCAGAGTCAAATTAAAAAGGGGGGAGGTGGGGGAGGCTCTCGCATTGATGAGCAAGCAGAAATCATTCCTGTCTCTGGAACATGAAGGGCACCACCCAAGCACCCAGAGTAGCCAATCTGGACCACAGAATACACCCTGAATTGACATCACCATTTCCTTTTCTTTGAAATAAAAGCAGTTGGGTAAAGATTTGTACAAAAAGGCTGGGGTTTTTTGTTGTGGAGTGGGGAGGGAATGAGAGAGAGGCTGATGCAGCCATGCGAAGAAAGAGAGAATGTTTCCATGAAGTTGCTCCTGGGATAAATCTCACTCCCATCAATTAATTATTCATCTCCTTTATATTTCATCTTTCATCCAAAGAGTTTCAAAGGATGGACATGGCTACTTCTCTCTCCGCAAGGCAGAAGGAACAAGCCCAGGTCACCAGGTCTTTCCCCCCACCAGCGACTTCTAGCATCATCCAGTCATTGTTGTCTCAAAATTTCAATTAATGTAGACAGGCTTTATTATGTCATCTCAACAACAGCTAGGTGAGGCTGTGAAGATACTAGAAGTCACTAGTGTGGAAACAACCTTCATGAGCTTCATGGTGAAATGGAAATTGAAAACTGGGTTGCTCCAGTGCTGTTTCAAACACTGTATTGTATTGTTGCTCATCAGCTCTCCCGTTTAGCCTTCTTGCCCTCATCCTTAGTCTCTCATCTATGATATGCAGCTCCTAGCTCCATTTCAGGGCTGCCATTTAGATGATAAGGACCATAAATGCCAAACAGCTCGAATGCCAAATACTGAATAAATGCAAAGCACGAATATTAAAGTGTGGACGTTTGTGCAGGGGTACTTGCGAACAGATGATTCATAAGTCCAAGTTAATGTTTTGAGAGCTATGACAAGTTCTCCTTGTTCTTAATATAGCAGGATCCGAATGGACAATCTCTTTTTATTAAATTCCCTGCCAGGGCATTGCTCTTAATCTACAGCAAAATTCCATGTTAATACACCAGTGGTTTACCAAAGGTCATAACTGAAGCTCCGTTGTCAACATCGTTTGTTCTCTTTCACCAGACAAAGTAGACAGTACAGTGCCAAACATGGAAGTCAATAAAACATTTATATGAATAACTCAATGAATAGGAAGGCAACTCATCATTTACATAAATTTTACTGAAGGAGCCCACCCAATCTGGCACAGACAGAATTCCCAACTTTGTTTAATGGGAAGTTTGGTTTATTGTCTTCACCCCAACTGAAGTCCCAAATGGACAACACACCCATGGCATAACTTACTGAACTGTATCCTGCCCTGTAAAAGAGAGGGAAGGAGAGACCAGAAGGATTGGCCACAAGCTGGAGAAGCAAGGAAACTGACTTATAAGGTATGAGTAATACAACTGATATATGGAACTCAAACTAGAATCTGAAAGCCTACTTCAAGGACTAAAATCGTGATGGCTTTGAAACTAGTACTTAATATGGTTCTGTAAACACTCATGCAAAGACAATTAATGACAGACAATATAACTCGGATTTTCCCCAACTTGAATCCAGGGGCTTTGGACTACAACTCACAGCATCCATGATCTTGCTAACTGGGGCGGAAGGGTGTTTTGGCCCACTCCATCCAGGGCAGTGTAGATTGGGGAAGGCTCACATAAAGAAAAATGAACTGGATGATCCAATAGTCATAAAGCCGTTTCTGTATCTTCACTCGCAGGATGATAGACACTGAGGCATGGAGTTCTCCAACAATCAAGAGGGAAAATTAGATGCTTTGGGGCTCTCAGATGTTTTATTGTTTGCAATGGTTTAGAAGCTACCATTGATGTAAATGAAGCAGTTTGCTTCCTGACGGGGTCCGCGCAGGACGGGCTCCCACAACTTGTCAGTCTCTTCTTAATTTGTGCGTCTAATTCACGGTTCTAATTCCTGCAAGATGGACAAGACTTCAGCTCTCAACAGCCACAGGGCACAAGGTGGTGATGTGTTAACGTTACCAAAAGGGTAAATACAGTTTTGCTGGCCTATTTTTCTTCTTGTCTTTTGTGCTGGTGATAAGGTGGGAGAATTATTAAACAGATACCTTTGAGAGAATGGCACCATCATTTTTTTTTTAATCTGTTCAATCATATCCAATTCTTGGAGATTGCCTGGACAAGTCCCTGCAGTTTTCTTGGCAAGGTTTTTCAGAAGCGGTTTGCCATTGCCTCCTTTCTAGTGCTGAGAGAGGGGGACTGCCCCAAGGTCACCTAGCTGGCTCTGTGCCTAGGTGGGACTAGAACTCATGGTCTCCCAGCTTCTAGCCTGATGCCTTTAATCACACCACCAAACTGGCTCTCTCAAACTATCATAATAACCAGGCTACAAAAAAGGGGGAACTGCCCATCCCATCCTACATGTTCTCAGTCCAGCATTCTTTGGATGAACACTCACGTAATATGAACCCTAACAGAGTAACAGAAGTTGCCATCAGAGCTAGACACATTCACTCTCTGCCTCTTTGCGCTTTCTGCTCACTTTGGTCAATACTATGAGAACTTATCCCATCATCTCCTGTCCACCCAATGCAGTGAATCTTAACAATCTTGTAGAACAGGATTAGAGGGCAGCACCAAACACGTGTCCAAGGTAAATCCAAGGAGTATTACCTTAGCCCTGTCTACAGGGAGCTGCAGAGCAATTTGCATTTAGCACAGAATTTCCCCAAAATGGAAATGGTGGGCAGGGGGCAGAAGGGTAGAGGAAATAAAATGAAAGTAGTACTCACCCACACAGAGGATGTTGAAACAGAAACCATGGCTAACTGATTTATTAACCAGCTGATCAGGTAAGCTATCAAATCCTACATGACCAGAAAGAGGAACAGTCCGGCAGCCTTCACCCTAAGATGATCACAAAAGAATGCATGTTAACATTAGGCCTCAACCTTCTGGACAGCCTTTTAGATATGCTCTGAACTTTGGGTTTGGGGCAGAAGTTGTCTCCTGCAAAGCACACATTGCTGGACTCTTTTGCACATCCTGAATTACGTTGACACTGAACATGTTCCTGCTAGAACTCTTATGTATGCTCTGGCAGAAGAACAGAATAGAAAGGCTATCGGAAAGCTGCCTTTGGGGCAGGAACAGGACCTGCAGTTGAGAAACACACAAGAAGCCGCCCTAAGAGCTAGGTCACCACACAATTTAAAAACTAACTAACCTGGAGCAATATCTGCTAACTTTCTTTCCATGGTCATTTGGCCAACTTGTCCAGTGTGCTCCAAAACTTAACTTCCTCTAAGTAGCTGGCAGGAGACAAGATACCCGAGAACAGATTTTATGGAGACATTGATCTTCAGCATAACAGGTCCACAGGGGGGTCCACAGGGTATGGTCAAGAAAGTCAAGAAGGGGGCCCAAATGGTGCCATTGAGCTCCTCCAGTTTTTTATGCACATTGCCTTTTTTGCCCATCACCGTCATAGCCTTCTTGAGCTTTTTGACCGTAACCGATGGACGCGAGTGCACTTTCAAACGATTTCCACTCTTAGAAAATCTGTCCAACCGTCAGGTTTCAGCCAATCCAGTAGGGCTGGAGGGTGGAAAAGGAGTTTGCCATTTGATAGGTCAGTGTGATGCTTGAGCCAGGGCGAAAGAGTAGCATCATATTTTTCCATTCTGTGAAAGGTCCGTACAAGAAATGCTAACGGGGGAAGCTATTTGCAGCAAGAAGGCACCCATTTAATTCCCCTGTGGCTTTCCTTGCATCCATAAATCACAACTGATTTGTTACAACATATGAAAAAACATTGCCTCACGCATCAGTGAAAGCGGTGCACTTCTTGCCATGGTAAAGTTTTAGCCGCACCCACATCTCTGCTGCCCTTTCGAGGGGCTGATTTACAGTTGATGTGCACGTGTTGCTGCAACTTAAAACTGGTGCAGAGGAAACTCAGAAAAAATCCCTTTACAGCAGTGTTTGTCAAACTTAGCAACTTGAAGATGTGTGGACTTCAACTCCCAGAATTCCCCAGCCAGCAACACATCTTCAAGTTGCCAATTTGACAAACGCTGCTTTAGAGTATTGGATCTCCCACTTTCCAACCTCTCTTCGTTCATTTTCTGGGTGCAAAAAGTTTGTGATTAAATTCTACAGGAAAAAAAAGAGCAGGATAAGTAACTGAGAGGAAAAAGAAAGAACTGGTTCGGCTTCCCCTCCTAACCAGGAGGCTTGCTGGAAGGTGCATTTACTGGAAAATATATCCAGTTATAACAGTCCAATTACAAATGCTCCTGCTGAGGTAATTAGCACCTCTCTGCATTTTCAATCTTCAGAGCAACACCAATAAACTGAGTTTTTGTCCATGCACAGAAATGTAGCAGGTTCGAAACCACCACTTGAAGGCCAAGAAGGAAAAGGGTTCATTTTACACGGTGCACCAATAATCGTGATCACTTGATGGTGAGCTCGGCAGCTGTGATTTTTCAGCTTCACCCCCTAAGCAGCATCTAAGGGGATCCTGTATCTTAACCGTCCCCAAATCTGGCACCTTCCAGATGTGTTGGTATGGCAACCCCCACAATTTCTGTGCAGGCTGGGGGATGGAACACCCACACATCTGGCGAGGGGCAGGTTGGAGACGGTTGTGTTTGGTATAGGAAACTGCTAAAGCCTGCAATGGCTTTTTTCGAGAAGAGCAAGCATGAAACCCACTTCCTGTGAGTGAGGCTTCCTGTGCCTGTGTGGTTCCTCTCCCCGTTCAAAAAACAGTGAATGCTTGTCATAAAATGTGATAACCAATGGATATAGAAAAGTAAAGTTTTCCTTGATCAAACTCAGCTCCTGGTCTAAGCAGATGTTTGTTTTTCTGGCATGATACAGAGGTGCCTTGCCACCACCTGCTCCCAGGGTCTTTTTGACTTCCCAGCCTAACCTGATGATCCTCCCTTGACATAACAGTGGTACCTCTACTTACGAACTTAATCCATTCCGTGACTCTGATCGCAAGTCGAGTTGGTCCCAAGTCGAACTAAATTTTCCCATAAGGTTCAATGTAATTACCGTTAATCTGTTCCGGCGTCCACAGATCACGCGTCGGGGCGGAAAAACGGCTGCTGACCACGTGGAATGGGTGGAAAATGGCTGCGGACCATGTGGCAGGGCCGGAAAAATGGCCGCGGACCACGTGGAATGGGCGTAAAAATGGCCACGGACCACGTGGAATGGGTGGAAAATGGCCGCGGACCATGTGGAACAGGCGGAAAATGGCCACGGATCCAGTTCATAAATCGAGGTGAGTTCGTAAGTAGAGGTAAATTTTTGGGGCCGGAGCTGGTCGTATCTCGAAAAATTCGTAAGTAGGGGTGTTCGTAAGTAGAGGTAAATTTTTGGGGCCGGAGCTGGTCGTATCTCGAAAAATTCGTAAGTAGGGGTGTTCGTAAGTAGAGGTAAATTTTTGGGGCCGGAGCTGGTCGTATCTCGAAAAATTCGTAAGTAGGGGTGTTCGTAAGTAGAGGTAAATTTTTGGGGCCGGAGCTGGTCGTATCTCGAAAAATTCGTAAGTAGGGGTGTTCGTAAGTAGAGGTAAATTTTTGGGGCCGGAGCTGGTCGTATCTCGAAAAATTCGTAAGTAGGGGTGTTCGTAAGTAGAGGTACCACTGTACTACCAAGGTCTGGCTCTGCTCTGCTTTCCAGATCTCTCAAGCTCAGCTAGATGCGAAGACCATTTCACATCTTTGCAGGCATCCCCGTTAAAACCCTCAGCCTGTTCTGCAGTTAGTGCACCCAAGTTGCCAAAGGTAAGGCATTCTGGAGTTGGCACTTTTTTGGTCAAATTGAGAAGCATTCAGCTGAAGAGCAGAGGGCCAAACTTCACCACGACTATGTCACCAGCAGTGAAAGGCATAATCCAATGCTTTCGTCTTTATCCGTTTTCTGTGATTCACTCATTTGGTATCTGAGAGGAATCCGTTTGGGATGGTTCCTAGATAACTTTCAATAAAAGCCCTTGACAAAGGGCACAGAGATGATGAGACGCATGGATATTTTCCAACTCTTTCTCAGTTCTACCAAGCTAGGAGACAGAGATGAAAAGATGCCAGCTTTACCCCTGGCATTTCGAACAGTCTTCTGCATACAGACTGGGTGGCCCTAGAAAGTTTAATTCTCAATCAGTTCAGAAGCATGGAAGAAAGGGCAGCTTTGAGGCCCTTGAAAGGAAGAACTGAGGTTCATAGGAAGAGTAAAGAACAATGCAGAGACTAATAAGTGCAGCAAAAAGGAATTGCTTGGATGGCCAGGAGCAGTTGGGCCATTTCAACTACTGTTGGCCTGGCACTGCATGCCAGAAACCAACTGAGCCGCAAACAAGATACAGCATATACCCAACCATAGGAAGGGCAATCTGATTCTGCTCCTATTATTTAAAGCTATAACGAGTCACCTCAATCCTGCTTCAACTATATTCCTCAGCAGCCTCGAGTCTGGAAAGGAGCCATAATTCAGTAGAATATGTGCTCTGCTCCAGACAGTCCGCATGGATATTGGAAAATTCAATTATGGTCCCAAGATATATTTACTGTCATTATTTAGTGAGACAACTCAAAGAACTGAAAACAGAACCGTTCAATTTATGATCATTGTTGCAAGGTTGGCTATAGCACAATATTGGAAAAATTGAGAGCCTCCATCATTAGATCTCTGGTATGAAAAATTATGGAAGATTGTTATGGAAAAACTGACATATAAAAGATGGAAGATGTTGAGATATACTAGAAAAGTTACCTTTGATTCAATCTGGAAAAGAGTTATTCTTTTCACAAAACGTAATAGGCCAAATTCTTTTTTTTGTTTACCCCAGTATATTATTGTTGGAATCTTGATTTGTTCTTGGATCTTTTTAATGTTTGTTAATTCTGCTGCGATATTTTTAAAGTTTAGTTACTGTTTCTTACTGTTGTTTTTACTGTACAGGCAGTCCTCATTCAGTGACTGCCTCATTTAGCAACCGTTCAGTTACAACGGTGATGAAAAGTAACTTTGCGACCAATCCACGCATTTACAATCTTCACAGGTCTATAAAGCAAACAGAAGCTGAAGTAAGATCATAAGAACAGTCACGGTTTCACTTAGCGACTGCTTCACTTAACAAACAAGTTGCTGGTCCCAATTGTGGTTGCTAAATAAGGACTACCTGTATATTTTATTATCTATTGCCAAGTCATATATCCTTCACCCCGTATCTGTGGTTTGATTTGTTTTCTAAGCAAAATAAAGACCAAGCAGAACTGGGAAAGCCTGCCCTGAGAACTAGGCAATGATAATTGGCCATTGGGGGTAAAATACTGAGCTCAACTATCCAATGCTTTTTCTTGGTATACGGCAGTTTCCTCTGATTTTTCTCACTCTGCACATTCCACAAAGTTCATGCCAAGAAAAGCAAAGGTCATATTTTTCCTCCCTTCCACCACCTCTAATCCGATGTACCATTTTAGGACCAAGTTCCCACCATCAAAACTAGAAGTCTTTTTATTTTGGGAAAATGGAAGACTCATACAAATGAACACGCAGAAGTATTTTACTTCTGCAGCCACACTCCTAAACGAAAAGGTGTTTCATGGAAGAATTCATTATGACCCACTTCTTTTTTTTAATACAATTTTATTGAATTTTTTTTACAAGATAAAAGCAATACAAATAATAGAAAATAAACAAAGAAAATAAAAGAATAGTGAATAAGTAAGAAAGAAAGTAGGAATAGAAAAGAAAAAGAAAAGGCTTCTGATCTTTTTGACAGTGGTTATAAATGCATTTATATTTTACCCTCTCTAAGGTTACATCATAATTTCCTTTTTCCATAAGCTACCCTTT